TCCTTTTTATTAATTAACTTCTCTCGACAATGTTTATTTTGTTGAATGCAGTTACTCATGCATGTCTATTTGCGTTCAGCATATAGTAGCCCAGAACACCATTGGTTTTTGATATCAGTATGTTGCGGCGATAACATGAAGGCGAACAGTAGATTGAGCCCAAGCTGACTACTCGTCACCAGCCCCGATAAGGTTTTCGGGGTACCGCCCCGGCGTTTGAGCACGCTCACGTGAGAGACGCGGCAACGCGAGGCGGGCAGGCGCTAGTAGTTAGCCGCGTGCTGCTTACCTAAGCAGCAGCGGAAGTTCGACTTGCGGCTTGAGCGTGTGCGGCTTGAACCAAACCTCTATTTTCGCTTTCTTTTCCTGAATATTTGTTGCGACATCGACGGCGTTAGGCCACAGCGATGTCGACAAACGTCTACTCTAATCTTCCCCCTCAAGCTCGCCGTCATCCGCTTGCCAACACTGCTGCAAACAACATCAGGCCTATTCAGCCCGTTCGCCAGCATATTCCCGGGACACCTCCGAGACAACAGGAACAACCTCCAGCGCAGCCTTCGTCCCCTCCGTTGCCCAGACAGAATGTCAAAGTCCCTCCTCCGTCCCCTCCCCGGGTCATCACTGATAAGGCGAGAGTATTGCATTTCACGAGAGTCGGAATGCTCGGAGAGGTGCGTTGCGGCAAACCGTCGCGATGAGAAGATGATCTGACTTTTATTGCTAGGGTGGCTTCGCACGCGTATACGAAGTAGAGGATCGACAGAGGAAGAGATGGGCCTGCAAGGTTGTCACGAAACAGTCGTTGAAGACGAAGAAAGCCAAGACAAAGGTTAGCTGTCGCGGAATGTGCATCGGACTTGTGTGTTCATATCTTTTTGCTAGCTATACGCAGAAATCAAGATCCACCGAGCACTTAAGCACCCGAACATCGTCCGCTTTATGGACTGTTTCGAAGACGACGAGAACGTTTACATGACTCTAGAACTTTGCCACAACGGCTCCCTCATGGACATGCTACGGCGACGCAGGCGATTTTCGGAGCCCGAAGCACGATACTTCATGGTCCAGCTGCTCGGCGCATGCCACTACATGCACAATCATCAAGTCATACACCGCGACCTCAAGCTTGGCAACATTTTTCTTGACGTAAACATGAACGTAAAGGTCGGTGATTTCGGCTTGGCCGCGCTCATCGAGAACCCGGGAGAGCGCAAGAAGACAATCTGTGGCACACCGAACTACATTGCTCCTGAGGTCCTCTTCGATACCGCCAACGGTCATAGCTTCGAGGTGGATACCTGGTCCATCGGAGTCATTCTTTACACCCTTGTCATTGGACGGCCGCCTTTCCAGACGAAGGATGTGAAGGCTATCTACAAGCGTATCCGTGACAACGAATACGAGTTCCCCGCAGACCGTATCGTATCACTGGAGGTCCGGGAGCTCGTGCAGCAGATCTTGACACCAGACCCGCAGCAGCGCCCCACGCTCCATGAAATCTTGGACGACTACTGGTTTACACGTGGTATCATGCCAGCCTGCATCCCCGTTTCCGCCCACGACACGACCCCAGATTTCCGCCATATCACCCTCTCTGTCTCCCAGCAGAACCTTGCGATGCTCCGCAAGCACGCGGGGCTCGATGATGAAACCGGTGACATTGCGGTGCCGTCCGCACCTGACCCTGCTGCGAGCAAACTCCGGAATACGACCGCCAGTCTCGCGCAGCAGGAGAAGGAGTTCCAGAAAGCCGTCCAGCCTGGCAGTCCTATTTCTGCACTGCTCAGTTCCGCGAGGCAGCCGCTCCTCGTTGCACCCGCCACCACACGTGGGGAGCAGCCGTTGTTCCGCAAGCTCCAGACAGCGAAAGTCGAGCAGGCGCGTGCGTCGCCCGGCCGCATCCCGCGCGAGGCACGTCTTGGGGAGGAGGGCGATCCAGGAAACAAGGCCGAAGAGCTCCGCAAGAAGGAATTGGAGTCTCAGAAGGCCCGCATTGTGGCGCAAATGGTCCCCGCGCAGGCCGCCGCGCCCACGTTTGGCTACGACGACGTTGAGAATATTCCGCCGCCACGGCCTGGCGCCAGCGACGCGCTGCGGGAGAAGGCAAAGGCAGCCGCTCCGACGAGGACCGACAGCCCGCCTATTCCCGTGTCGGCGTCGGCGTCAAAGATTAACAGCTTCGATGCAGCTGCGCAAGTGCTGACGACTGCCTTTGAGGCCAAGGCGGCGGGCAAGCTTTTCCGCGACCCGAGAGAAGATACGGAGCTGCCTGACCCGAAGGTCTTCATCGTTTCATGGGTGGACTACTGCAACAAGTACGGCATGGGCTATGCGCTGACCGACGGGTCGGTCGGCGTGCATTTCAACGATAGTACAACTATCGTGCTCTCCGCTGACAAGATGTAAGTGCGAGCACAGCCGAAACTGCGCGTATATGCTCATTAGACCGTCATTTCAGACATCTTGACTACATCTCTTCGCGGCGGCAGGGTTCTGTTTATGTCCGGAAGAACTACACGGTATCGGATCATCCTGAAGAGCTGAAGAGCAAGGTATACCTCTTAAAGCACTTTGAGAAGTACATCATGGACCGGCTCTACGGCGACTACGACTACACCTTCGAGGACCGCGAGCGGACGAAGGGCATGGACTTTGTGCAGAAGTATCTCCGCATGAAGCATGTCATTGTCTTCAAGTTGAGTCACGATGTCTTGCAGGCAAGCCTTACTCATTCGCATAGCATATATGCACGAGATCTGACGTCCCGCATCTAGTTCAATTTTTACGACCACTCGAAAGTCATCCTGTCTTCACACGGCCTCCTAGTGACGCACATCGACAAGAATTACCAGCTTTCGCGACAGCCACTTAGCGAGATCATGGCCAACGCGCTTCGCCCGCCCATGAACGCCGAGCAGGCGAAGCGAAATGAGAAGCTTGTAGAGAAGCTGCGATACTGCAAGGAGGTGCTTGCGTCCATCCGGAACGCCAGTGCGCAGGCACAGGCACAGGTACAACTGTCCCCTGTTGAGCCCGAGGCGATGCAGATGCCCACTTCGGCGTCGGCGCGGACGGTGAACACCCGGCCGTCGAAGGTGTCACTCCGGTAGTGCCCTTCCCTCCTGTTTCCGCTTGTTGTTCAGGTTCCCTTCGTCACGGTGGCCCCGCTCGAGGACGCTAGGTCCTCGGCGTGCCTACAGCTTCTCACGACTCCTGTGACGTGTATACCCCTGCATGAACTACCCCGTTCCTTTCGTACTTTTCTCATCTCACGCTACGCTATGACACTCTTAGCCAGGCTCACGACTATCTTTATTGATCTGCACACATCACGCGATCTTCACCCGCACACATAGCTTACCCTCGTTCACCCACTTGCGCAGCGAAACGGACCGTGTTCTTTCTTGTGTTGAGTGTATGCACCCACTGTAGAATTGCTGTAATATTGACCGAATCGCATGGTATCTGCACGGTGTTCGCACGAACAAAGTCGCTGCTATTTGCGTCATTTATCGATGTCACCCGTAACTTCTGCACGTACGGAAAGCTGAGTCCGGGCTTGAAGTGCCAGACCTTCATCCAGGTTTCTTTCAGCAGGCATGCACTCTAGAGGTGCATTGTATCATCATATAGCTAGTTGACGTACATGCGGGTCACAAAGATTTGATCTAGCTCGTCGTAGGGTCTTCGCTTGTGAGCTAAAAACATCAGCAAAATAATACCGAAATTAAGTGGCATTAGACCGCAAGGAAATTAGACAGGTGCATAGTAAAGTCACCGATACACTGACCAGTAATAAATTAAATTTCAGCTCACCGTCGCCGTTGATATCGCCGGCAACACGCCAGAATGAGGGCGTTGCAAGGCAGGTAATTATATCGCTGCCTAGTAGCTTTTATATCGCGAGTCTGGGTATTTTATTGCGAAACGGTCTGTAGACAACAAAAAGCTTCGCAGGGTCATGTGATAGCGGGCCCGTGTTGCTGGTACGGCTCATTTCCCGCATCAAATTCAGGCGACCGTACATGTGGCAGAAAGAAATCTATTAGTGACCCATACCACCTATACTATGTACAGCAGACACGGAATCTTGTGCGTACAACTAGAAACCGAGTTAGAAAGTATTAGTGCAGAAGCGGAAGAGGCCGGTCTCCCGACGAGCAGCGTGTTGAGTGGCTATGGCCCTCATATCACCTTGTTCCTGCTCATCCTCCGGTCCCCGTAGCGCGCCCCAAACCTTGATAGAGCAAATGCCACCATTGCCGCCGCTAATACTGCCACTGCTGGAGCTCCACGTGGGCGACGGGACGCTGTGCACGACGCCTGCGCTGTCGGGCGCGATGAGGTGCATCCTGCCGCCGAGCTGATAGAGCTCGGCGCATGCAGCGGGGCTCGTGCGCGCCGGCTGCTGCTGCGGCTGCGGCTGTTGTTGCTGTTGTTGGCCGGCGGCGCGCGCTGCGAATGCGTCGTGCGCCTGGCGGTGGAGCTTGCGCACAATGTCCTGCGCCAAGGGGCCAGGTACAGTTAGTGGGGAAGGGAGGGAAGGAGGAGGGAAAGGAGAGGGAGAGAGGAACGCACGACGTGGTTCGCGGCCGTCGGCGCGCGGTCCGAGCAGCGCTGGAAGATCTCGCAGAGCCTGTCGAGCTCGTGCAGCGACGCGAGGGCGAGGGACGAAGTCGGGGCGCGCGTGACCATCAGGCACATC